GCCAAAATGGACCACTTGAAACAAGACTGATCGATATTCTGTGGGTTGATGATTGCTTTTCTTTGGTTAATCTCTGGTGGGACAGGAATATATGATGAGCCGGCGAGGGGCGTATACTTGTATACGCTGAGCATAAGGCCGTCGATATGCGTTAGCGTGAAACCGCTACCCCTAACCGAGTACGCGTCTTCCTCGGCAAGCATAACCTCAAAATCTTCATCGACCGCACACACGATATCCGTATCGGATAGCAATGCCCTAGCCCGTGTCTTGAAGGCACGGTCTTCAGGTGGTGCTTCTGATCGCGGTATATGGTATGAGGCCTCCAATTTGAGATTATACTTGATCGGACGGTTACCTACGATTTCAGCGAGTCTGGCCACCAGCTCAGGTTTAACGGTGCGTAGAAAATCTCGATAACTCGCGAAATTTTCCACGTTCTTCCGGTAAAACCAAACGGCCCCCCGCTCCAATGCGGAATCGATCTCGGTGAAATCACGGGTATCCGTCAATTGCATACGTAACCTTTTCGACCTAACCGCGCTGTTGTTGGCCCTACTACGCTTAGCCGCCTGACGTGATGAAACAGATGTTGCGGAAGTAGCTTTAATCAAAAATAAATAAATAATTTATTTATTGGAAAAAGATAAATAAAAATAGTAAGGATGATAAAATTAAAGAGAAATGTTAATAATTGTACATACCTGTTGAAGACGTTTGCTGGTTCATGATTTTTTATTTGCGCGTGAAAATATTAAAATAATAAATTTATAGTTTTCAAATAATCAACTATGCGTTAACGTTAATTGAACACGAATGTGACAGGATACAGAGCGTTTAACCGGTTATATAGTAAAATAACAAAATACGTAGGCGTGAAAAAAGACAACGTTGCCATTTTTCTCATAAAATGGATACAACAGTGACCATTAAATTATTGTAACATCTTTGGAATTATGCTGACCTAAGCGTCTGGCATCCGATGATAAGATTCATACGACAATAACCATTACTGTAGGGTGACCTCATTGATGTTTGAAATATGCTGACCTAAGCGTCTGGTAACCGATGATAACATTTTTAGAAATTTTTCCAATTTTCTCACTTCAATTTTAAAATATATTTTAGAAACATGTTCGTCGCTAGAGCTCTTTGCTGGCTGAATATTCCCCCTCTATTGACTTTTAATAATATCAAAACTAAAAAACGTAACTGGGGTTTTGTTAAAAACCAAACTTGCGTTCTAGCTTACTTTGTTATGGCCAGTCCATTTTTTGTATTAGACAATGGAAATAAATATCATAACCATGTAAATTTTGATATATCTTATATTGATATAAATAATTTCCGTTTAAATTTCAATCTACCCGTTTATTAAAGCAGGCATGTAAATTTAACGCTAGTGTAAAAAGTGTGCAATACAACAATGGACTTAAAGGTTTTCGAAGCTGAAAAATAATAAAAATCTGACACTGATTCACTACGTCATTTATTTTTTTTACAACATCGATAATTGATAAATTTTCCATAAAATAGTTTAATGTATTTATTTACAGGTACAGTGGTATATTTCTTATCTATTTAATTTGTTCTATAAATTAGATATCATTAGTTTAGTATTATCACAATAATGATAAGGGATAAATAAAATGTAACTGCTATAAATTTTTATCGAAAAAATTCGTGAACTGCCCCTAATATATTTGCGAAAATGACTAGATTAATGTAATGAATTTTAAGTAATGCAATACCTTTAAATGTAAGTTTTAAAATAAAAAATTACTATAAGTGATAAAGAAATTAGTATTGTTATGCCTTCAGGTCATATTTCATAATATTATTCAAGTATTATGTTATACATAATTAAATACATAAGTTAAACGAAAACAGTTACAAATAATTCTTTATATAACTACCATTTTATAATTGCTACAAGGTTAATCAAGGTGAGAAAACTTTAGCAATTATATTTCAAAGGAATTTAAGCTTAGAGAAATATGAGTTGTTTTTTAAACATAAAATAGTAGGCTAATAAATAATTATTTTATTTTTTTATTCTAATAAAAATAAAAGAAATCTGATACCATAAATAATTTTATTTTGAGTAATTTTCCTAAATTATTCTTAACATAAATTAAATAATTGTAATGGTTTAATCTTATTTATAAAAATATTTAATTTATAATCATAATGAATCATCTTAAATGAATGTTTAATTTTGTAAGAAAAATTTAAATAAGTTAATTCTACTGTTTTTAGATTATTACATTAAAGAAATTATCTACATTATCTAAATCATTTTATATAAGTTTGTTGTCACTTCAATTATTATCTGTTTTTTATAATGTTACATCACATTTGTTTAATTATTTAACTTGTGTGATTTTTGTTTTTATTTTATTTTATTTTGTATATTAGTATCTTTACAATCTAAAGTAAAATTGTTTAATATAGCTAGCAACTTAAATTAACATACATGTATAATTTTTATTTTTTAGCAATACATAAGTGCTTTTAATATTTCTAATCAATTAATATCTTAGATCACATGTATGATTAGGTTTGTAATGAAATTATGTCTTAATTTTGATTAAAAAAAAAACCTTAAATTAAATAAAATGTAGATTTTTATTAAATACAGATATACTGAAATTTTAATTAGCTACAATATTTTTGTAGTTATTTTTTAGATTATATTCTTATTTCAATTTTTAATTTTATATTATTTATTAAAATATTAAAAATTTGTTTAAATAATTGTTGAGTTTTAATAACTTATTATTTATTTATATTTAATTTAAGTGGTTTATGATTTTATGATGGTAAATGATTTTATGTTTATTATTAAAAAAAGGGCGTTAAGTGTGCACATCTTAGGTTATTATATTTTTGTCTGATAACTACTAATTCATAACCATTAGACTCGATTCATTTACTTAGAACATAGGTGTACATTCCACCTATGGAATTAATTCCAACTATCAACCTAATCTGTGAACTAGTTTTAAAATGTGATATATTAGTTATGATTTTTTTATGTAATAAGTAATTGTTATGGAAATTTTGTATGGCTGTATTTTAATGTATGTTTTTAAATTTATAATTTAAAAACTTAAGTATTAAATTTGTGTTCAATTTATTTAGTTTTTAGAATTTCTGTTCATTTTAACTATTTGGATACAATTTTACTATAATTTTTCTATTCACCTTAAATTTTTTACATTTAACATTTTTTTTCACTTAGAAGTTTTAAAATTTTTAGTTCTAATAATTTTTGTTCCTATATATTATTATCTACATATTCTATCATTTTAAATTAATGTTATTGATTTACTTTCAAAAGTAATTTGAAGGTAGCTATACTAGTAGTTGTTTTATCTTTTATAATACTCTAGCCAATTAATTTATATATATATATATATATATATATATATATATTCTAAAATCCGAAATTTGGAATACCACTATTTGTTACTTTTTAAATTTACAGATAAATTTAGTCAATTGGTGCAGAGAGATATGAACATAGATTATATTAATGTAATTTGTGTTACGAAGAACACCTCATTAAAATGGCTACTTACATAGAAGATATACCAAAAGTAGTAGTAGAAAATTTAGAATCCAATTTTAATTCAGACATTAAAGAAAATGAACAGGGCAATAATAATACTCAATTACAACAACCATATTCTACTTCTAGAAATAAAAGTCCTGTAACAGTGCAAGAATGGGTAGATTCAATACCTACTGTTCCAGCAAAGTATTATTTCCTATTGCTATTATTATTAAAGTTTCTTTAAATTAATTTAGAGATATAATTATAATTTAGGGATGAATATGATCACATTGAATTATATACACCTCATACTGTTGTTGAAATAGATAATCTTACATTGGGTGCAGAAGGTAATTAAATTTCGTTTAGATGAATTTTTTCTATTTAAAATTGAAAGAGCCTATTTTTTGGATAATTTTTTTTAGAAATGTAAATCTATTTTTTTTAAATTTTTGAAGTCAGCTATTTTTTCTTAATTTAATTTAATCAAAGATTTATTATCATAATTTTCATAAAAAAATATCAATAAGTAAAGTCACATTATTTGTTTGTAATTCTTAAAACTCTATTAATAATCATAGTCCTTACTTCTGAAATTTGTACTTTACACTAGTAATGTAATTACACCAGAGTTCAAGATTCATAACCGGCTACTGCCTATTAGTTTTGTTTTAAAATATGCTTTATTCCAAACTCCTTTTACATGTTTGTGCTTTTTTTAAAATATTTTAAAGACACATAATATTATAAAATCAAAAGAAGTCAATTTTTTAACCGTTTTAAAAAATTATATTTGTTGAAAATGTATTAATATTGTGTAAAATTAATAATAAGCTTTACAAATAAATATGATAATAACAAATTATAGTGAATATCAAACCAAAAAAATTAAATAAATAAATAAACATTCATTTTATATTTACATAAGTAATTTTAAAGTATTGAAAATATAATAATTTGTTATCTAAAATTAGTAAAATACAACTTGTTTAAATTATTTAATGGCTGGTATATGTTGAAAAAATGAAAAGACTGTGGCATCATCTTTATTTTAATTTATATTATTAGTTAATATTCACATTTTATTTGTTTATAGCTGGTCATTTGTCTAGAATTTTACCAATACCAAATGTTACCATTACAACTGAAAAGTAAATTTCCTAATATTATTTTTAGTAAAGTTTTTTTAGTTATTAGATTAAATTTAACTTAATGATTAAAGTGTTGTACAGTATTTAACTAATTCTAATTTAAAATTAGACTTTATGCTGGATGTATAATAAAATATTTAATTATGTAGTGATGTAGTTCATGCTCCATCAGAAGCAGGTAGCCAAACTTCAAGTTTTGATTCTAAAATATTAAATGCTCGTAAACCTGACCCAGAAGAGATTTTGCTTGGTCTTGGTTTTGGTGGGGGAATTGATTCATTTAATTATGGTGAAAATGGTCGTGTTCCAAAAAGATTTCTCCAACCATCTCAATTAAAAGGTGTTTCTGTTGAAGATTATTTAAAACATCAACAAGAATTGATTTATATGTATGAATCAGGGTTATGGGGTTACCGCGGTTTGACAGGTAAGATATATTTATTTACTTCTGTTGCATTTAATTGGGTATTTTAAAAATAATGAAATTGATAAAAATGCTATAATTGTGCATAATAATTCATCATAAAAGGTGTTTTAACCAGGTTCATACATAGAAATCTTCAAGTGACTCAATAGGCAAATATTTTACCATTTTTATGTAAGTTTAATGAACTATTAAATTAAAATTGATATGCTTGGAAGTGTAGTGTTAGGTAATTTTGCTATTATGATTTTGATTTCTTTGCATGATAGTATTGTTGTGTTTTAATGAATTTTTTAATTAATTTTTATTAAATTAAATAAACTAAATTTACATATAATTTGACACATATTTTCTTAATAAAAGCCATATGATCACCAAATATGTATAATTTGGCAGTATATTATAGATAGAATATTGAGTATTAAATGTAAAATAATTTCCTAGAAAAATCTCATGAGAATAATGAAATAATAATATGCAATTATTATTAATTAAAATATTTTCCTAAGTTATATTTTTTTATTCTTGCATTGGTTTTTATTTATTTATTTGTTGGTTTTAGTTGCTAAAAGTAATACAAGTAATTATGTAGTGATGTGTGAATGATTATTGTACAATATTTTAGTGCTGATAAAATCAATTAAAAATTTTTTTTCTATATTACTAATTGAAAATATTTTCCTTTTTTATTACTTATAGTTTTAATTATAATACATACTTAAATAATTTTTTTATAAGTTTTTCGCATGTTTTAAAATGTTGAATATTTATAATACAAAATGAACCATTATAATATTGTAATATTTATATTGTATTTTAATTTAATATCTAATACAACATAAAATTTTAAATAATCCAGTTAAAGTATAAACAAACAATATAAATATATTTAACTTTAGGTCCGTCTCATGCAAATCCTTCTATGATAGTAGCAAAAATAATGGAGAAACTTAAAGATCATGAACGAGGTGTAAATTTACCAAAAATCACTCCTAATGTAATAGTTTCACCAGTGACTCAGCCATTACAGATGGTAAACAATAATGAAAAACCAATTCCAAATAGGTTCAGCAAAACGGCTAAGAATATTCTGACAAAAATTAGGTATGTATTTTTATTTTAGCAATAATTCAACTATTTTAATTAGTTGAGGTTTTAGAATCATTAAATTTAGATTATAAAATTGTTATTTTATTATTGCATTGATAATAAATTACTGCACTCATTTTTTAATAAACTGAGATAAATTTAATAATTTAATAAAAAGTTTTCATCGCTTATTTCTCAAAAGAATATTTTAATAAGGTCGACCTAATTATTTTGTCAAGTTTAGATTTGTGAAATTGATGTTTACTTATATTTTAAATTTAATTTGACATTTTGTACATGTTATTGTATTATAAAGTTATAAAAAATTTAATTTACAAGAATCAATTTTTAAGGGTGAAATTAATTCGAAATGGATTGGAAAAAATTATTGATTGTGAGTAAGTAGTGTGTTCTCCGAAATAAAAACAGAAAATATTGTTAAGTTAATACTAATGTTTTATCTTATTTTTAAGGTAGTAGAAAAATTATTAGGTTCCTGAAAATAAATAATACTTAAACTAATAAAATTCCAAATATTTTGGGATTTTTAAGTGTTATAAAAATAATTTGGGACTTAAATATGCATTTTATTAAAAATGACTCATTAACATTTAATTAATTTAATTTATTAATAAAATTATGATCATATAGAAATAAAATAACATAGGTGAGTGTTGTTAACACTTTATAAGATTGTTGTCACTAACTAATGTGTTATTACATAACTTTTATAATTCAAATCATTTTTGCATAAAAATTAAACTCATTTTTACTATATTATTTTGAGTTTATTTTATAATAATAGGTGTACTCCTGGTAGTGTTCTTTCACCTGATAATAGAAAATGGCTAGATAATCAAGGAGGGGACAAATCCCCTGAAATGTCTAGAAGATTGATCATTGGTCAACAATCATTTGTTTTTACACGAGAGGGTGCTCTGATTGAATCAAGACCATCAAATGTAGTAAATGATTGTGAAAAGTAAGTGTTATGGGTCAATCTTCAAAGTAACATCTTAGTTTTATTTGATTTAGTTATAAATAGGGTTCAGGATGTAATAGTTTAAACAAATTTTGTAAATACATAATGTCCCGAACCTTAGTTATAAAATAAGTTTTTCGTATGACAATAAATTTACTCTGAAAAAAACCCGGCACAGTGGGGTCGTGGCATAATTGGGTCCAGCATATATGATATCTTTTTTTTTTTTTTTTTTTTTTAACTCCGATCGGCTTAGTTGTGGATTGCCCTGGAACTACCGTTAAGCTATGGTTTCCTAGAAACCGTTAATCGGTTAAAACCGATCGGTCCGTTATCTAGCGGCCGTAATATAGTGTTGGGTGACGTTTTCTATAAATAACATCGGAGTAGGTTTCCTAGAGTATGTTGAGTGTCACCGTTATTACTTAAAGGTATTACTTCAAGGCAGCCCACGCCGTCTTTAAAACTCACACAACACTACGTTGTGAATCAGCCCGAATTTAATCAAGAGCTGATTCACAACGTGGTGTGGCCTCCCCCGTTAGCCGGATTCCACAGTGGGATCCGTTGCCCGGGTTGCACCACGTGGAGGTGGGTTCAGGACCTTGCGAAGGAGGTACAAATAACTCACGAAACAAAAACACATAAAAACGAATACCTAAGACGCCGGCCTAAACCAGCGCCTTAGGTCCTCCTGTACCGGGCGGCGCGGCTGCTTTTGTCTCAGGCGTTTAGCTTCCTCCTTTTTCAAGGTGGATTCGGCGAACGCCTGGACGAGCTTCCCAACATCAGGTCCACCAAGGACCCGACTCGAAGCGTAGACCCAAACGGGACTCCAGAGAGTCCCGTTCCTGGGCCCACGCCTCTCCCGGCAATGGTTGCACGTTGGCGTGGCTGCCCTCCGAATACCGTGAAGGTATTCGTTAAAGCAGCCATGGCCGGACATCACTTGCGTTAATAAAAATAACACATTATAGTAAAATTAATACCTTCTCAGCTTTGCATCGAAGCTAAAAAATAATTTTAACTAATTTTAAATTTTCTTATTTAAGAGAAAGTATTTTATTGTACCATACTCCAACAAAAATAAATACAAACACTTTTCCTTACTAACACCTATGTATATAATATTATTGTAATAACTTATCTATTAACACATTTTCTCTAATAGATTTATAATAAATTTTCAAATTTTAGCTATTCAGTTATATCCAAAAAAAAAGATGTTATGGAACTATCTTGTCCAGTTATTAACCAATGTTCTGATAAATTAGATAATGAAACTCCTGTGTTGTTCAAAGTAGGGTCAATAACTTCAATTAACTCAGTTATCCAATCTTCAATGAACAGTAATGTTTTATTTTATTTATATAATAATCAAATAAATATAATTAATCTTCTTTTAGTGCTAAATAAAGAATACAGCCCAGAGAGAGATTTAGAAGACTTGTTGTCTGTTGTTGAACCTTGTCAAGATGTCAGTAAAGCAAATTCAGAAGTTGACTCCGGTGCAGCATCTGAAATTGCTGATACATTGAGTTCACAAAAGTTTGAATCAAATGAAAGAATTGACGGACAAAATAACAAAGCAATTTCTTTAGTAACATTTGAAGTAAATTATAATTCTTTATTTCAAATATATTCTAAAATTTATTTTTGACACTAGTACGTTTTTATCTTTAGAATTTGAAGCAGCTGTATGGAGATTTGCTTAATCTAAGATCTAAATTAAATGTGAGACTATATTATCATCAGTGTTATTTATAATATTTTATTATTAAAAAAACAATAACTTATTAATTTAATACTACAGGTACTTGGTTGTCCATTTAATATTATGCCAGAAGATCAATTTATGAATCTTTCAATTGAACAGGTAAAATTTGTGAAAAAAAATATATGAAGCTATTCTATTTTAGAGCTATCATTATTTCCTTCTATTTTCAATAAATATTATTCACATATACAGAGTAATCCATTTACGATAAACTATTCAAAGTATATATTTTTTTTTTGAAGTAACATAAAATTATTGAATATCAGTTAGTAATTACTTTTCATTCTTGATAACTTTTAGAGTTGCTTACTTTATTTTTTAGCTGGAAAAATACATATTTAACTAGCTTATAAAATAGAAAATTAATTAAGGTAATGACAGAAGATCGATAACAACTTTTAAAACAGAATTTTGTGAGTTATCAAAATATTTTTGTATCTGCAGGTGGAGAAAGGCAGCATAGGAATGATAAAAAATAGTCATACACACACGTCTCATTCTCTTGTTAGTCTACATTTAAAAATAGTTATAATTTTTTGAAGTATATTTTCGAAAGTTATAATTTTTTAATTAAATCATTTTACATTCTATAATTTACTTAAATATGTACTTTTTCAGATATAAAAATAAAGTTGTCAAACCTTTAAATTATGTGGGTGATACTAAAAAAAAAATAATTAGTAGCTAATAGATCAAAAAGTATATGTAACTATAAATCTAAACATTTTTATCAATATTTTATTTATTTATCATATAATTGAGTGGATGTACATTGATTAGCCTGTATTTTACTTATTATTTTTTTAATAGACAATTTTAGTTTTCAATATATTAATAATAATATTGATTTATTTTATATTTTATTCACAAGATAAATAATATTTAATAATCAATTTTCTCCTAAAAAAAATAAATTAGAATAATATTGTTTATTTTTATAGAGATGTGCATTACAATGTAAAATTCTCAGATTAGCTCTTCGTGTTTATATAAACCAACTTACTGATGATGAAGTGCACTATGAGTTGAAAAACTGTTTAGGTGTAGTCGTTCAAGATATTGCAGATTTATTAGATACAAATTCTGATGCGGATAAACTGGCAATCATTGTGCACCAAGTAATAATTTTGATTTTTTGAAGAACACCTTTGTTATCAATCTATTTATTGTTAAGAAGTTTTATAGTATTGTTCAACAAAAATAAAATTCATTATGTAAAATGAAACAATAAGAATTTTATCAAGAAATAATTTTTTAATTATGTTTTATCAGATATTATTGAAATATTAATATGGTTTGAGTATCAATAACCAGACCCTATTTGCTGGGTGAAAGTATAAATCAGCAATTAAATAACTTATCTGGTTAAAGTTATCAATCTTCAACTATAGAGAATTCAAAAAATAATAATAGATTACTACTATTTTTAATGTTTTTTTATAATTACGTTTGTTAACAATTTAGATGAATGCCCTGCTTCATCATCAAACTCATCTTAATAATCAATTAGTAGAATTGACTGCCAGAGCTCAAAACCCAATAGCTTGCCATGATATGTGTGAACTTATACTTCAAAGGGTTCAAGGTCTTGAGCAACTTGTTGAACAGAACGCAAATGACCTAGCTTTAATGAAAGCTCATTTATTAAATAAAAATTAGAATAATATAAATATCAAAAATTAACTAATTCATTACTGTAACAGTACTTATTGGACAATATAATGGTCGTTAATATTTTTTTATCATATAATTATGAAATTCATAATTGTACATAAAATAAATTAACATTTATTCTGTGACATAATTTTAAAGATTTTTAGGTATGGTGATTGACTTAGAAAAATTTTTAATTTATCATTTATTATTTTTGATTTATAATTTCTTTAATTGATTTTATTAGAAGATATTTATATCTTCCAATAAAATATAGATGTTATCTGATGTACTAAATTAATTATCACATTATCGTAACTATTGAATGGTCATTGATGCCTTATATGTACCTTCACTATTTTGATTTATTTATATGCATATTTATATATTGTTAAATTTTATTATTATAATTTTAACATATTAAAGACAATCATAAATTTAACTGATTAAAACTTATATTATAAATAATTATTTATTGTATTATAAATTATTTCATCCATTCTGTAGAAAAATAACAATATTTCAATATGTTCACATGGTAGTAATTACATTCTAATTTGTCTTTTTTTTTTTAATTCATACCAAATTCTCACACGAATAAAGTAACATAAAATATACTTCTGTATGATTTTTATAAAATTTAAATAAAAATTCAGGAAGTTTAAAACATTGTATTTATGTAATTTTTGACAAAAAATCAAAGTTTTTTAACATTTTATTCGATATAGTAAAATATGGTTTACTCCTGTAACTGACAATTTTATTTTTGCTGGGCAGCGTAATTATTAACATTTGTAAGATGATTCGTAGAACTAAACAAAGGAATCATAATCAGATAAGGAAGAAGAAGAAAGACAAAATTTGGAAAGATAAGCAGCGATGTAGGTAGAGTATTAGCCCGTCAACTTTGATGAAGTTGAACTTATGTGATGAAATGACGGGAGTAGGGTTAACTATGTGATTAAATAGGGGTGTTGTATAGGAGATAATAATAGGGAAGTAGTTTCTACTGAAAGTACTGTCAAGTACAGAACAAGATAGAGAAAGAGACGTGATCAATATGTCAACGGCTGTGTCTTCATAAAGAGGACGGTTCGCAGGAGTTCGGAGAGCCATTGTTAATAATCATTCTTAGACCAAAAGAGTAAAAATTATATTACTGCGATAATAACTGTCAATGGAGCCCATTAATTTCACCCCCTTCAAATGGAGTTAAGAAAATTAGACTGAAAATAGAATTGATGATAGTTGGAGGAAGGGGAAATATATAAGGACCAGTGAGAAATAATTGTGGTAGAGTTTATATAATAATTAATAGAATTATTACGTGAAGAGAATATAAGATTAACACTGATGGTAATCTGAGTAATTTGTATAGACTGATAAGCTGCAATGGCAACACCACTGTAACCACCGTGTCTGTCGGCTTGTAATATATTGAAATTAGGAAGGGAAAATTGTAAGTTGGGTATTATCCACGTTTCAGATATAAGGACAAAAGAGCATTTATGAATAAATAAAATATTAGCAAGACCGTAGGATTGATACTCCTAGTATTCCACTGGAGAACGTTAAAAGAAGGAATAGAGCTATTAGAATTATTTCTGGACATCGTCAATGTCAGAGTCGTAAGGTTTGAAATTGAATAAAGAAGATTCAATAATAGAGCGGAGCGATTCTAAGAAAGATAATGAGTTAGGATTTTGAATAAGAGAATGGGAAAGTTGTTTAATAAAAGAGGGAATCCAGCACATATTATGATGTGAAAAGTTAACTGAGGCCATATAATTTAAAAAAAATACCATTAGGGAAAAGGTAAACTGGTTAAGAGGTTGAAAAATTGGAAGTTAGTAAAGAGACTTATTATTATTATTTTTTTATGTTTATGTGATGAAGTAGGGAGAAAGGGAAGAGAATACTAACGGTATAGTTGGAAGGAGGATGACAGCTATTTGATTGAATATATTGTATATTATTAGTAGTATCGTTACTAACACTATTTTAACACGCTTATATTTTT